TGTAATGTGGAGGTGATCTCATAAACAGAGCTGTCAAATAGTCAATACAGTTGTCAAGTCCACTTTGCGTTCGAGACTATTCAAGTCGGTAGAGTTACTTGACTTCAAGTACTTTTCAAAGCTTTGCCAGAAACGCTTTTCTGCTTGTGGATTTTAATTTAAAAGTAGTAAACTATCGCTTCATGTCACAGGTCAATACCTCACACAAAAAGCACAACATCTGTTCTACCGAGCGGGTCTGTAAGAATGCCTTGTGACTCCTTTTTGAATGTGCTGCCAACGTAAGCATAAAGAACTTTCGCTGAAATTCTATACTTGGACTAGAATGTTATAAATAAATGAGAGTCTACGCACAGCTCAAGCGCGGAAAAACATATTGTATGTGAACTTGTCATGCAACAACTTTTGAAGGATGTTTTGTCAATTTGTTCTGAATTTTCCGCGAGTATTGACTTAAAAGATGTCAGAAAGGTAATCCACCATAAACATAAACATATGAATCGCTTTGGCTTAGGCAGGCATGTCTAAATGCAGCAGATATGCTTGAACGCTGCCAAATTCACCGCAAAATACGGTCTTACCATTTAAATTGGTGTCTTCCTAACAAATCCTTTTCTTGTATCTGTAATCCTAAATCTGCCAATATGTCACTTGTCAAGTATTTTTAAACGTAATTAAAATCACTGTAGCCAACTCTTATTTGACAGTTTAGCTAATCTAACTTGTCAGTGGGCTTTAAAGTATCACTTACAGTATTAGATTTAGAGATACGGAGGAAGGATGTCATGGGACTCCTTACTTTCCTTGACACGGTTAAGGCTTAACCGCAGCACCGACAGGATAAATTTGAAGTACGTCGGGGCACCATAAAGTTCTTGAGGCATTCAGTGTAATTCACTACGATATCGTGCAAAGTGCTGGCGACTGTCGCACGCTTGGAGCAAAGATCGGATATATAACAGAGTCGGTCAATCCGTACTGTATTCTTTATTGTGTTTCCTACTATTTTCTTGATAATTGGAAACCTCATAGTTGAACCTAAGAGTCTTACTTGGAGCTTTCCGATCTAAAAATCGGTTTCTTATTCCTTTTCCAAGGCTGTGTAAGCCCCTCGTGCAATTTGTGAAGCATTTGAAAAGTAATTTGCCAAGGACTTTTATCAATGTCTAACTTGATTGATGGAGAAAGTTGTCTGTGCCTACACCAACGGGCAAATAAAATCATGGTAGGAGAAAAATGAATGGGCTCTACTCATAGTAACAGGCTACAGGTAACTTCAAAAGCCATCAATTTTTTGTTCTTTACTTCGTCAACGTGCGTTTTAAAAACGTGCCTTTTCAAATGATGCGTCGATATACTAAATTGTAATGATGGTCGCTTTTGCACTTTAATGTTAAGCTACCAGTCGCGTCTTTGGTAATCCTTGATGGATCTATTTATCACCGCCTCCGTTCAAGCCATCATTTCCCTCCCAGATGCCTGTATCTTGCGCGGTGTGTTAGATGTCAAACCAAATATCTGACCATAACCGATGAGGTCCACTTCCTTGATGCAACTCAAAATATACGCTAGCATTCAGGAAGAAAGTCATCCTTTTAGAAGACTCATAGTACCCAAAACTTGCATGCAAAAGGACTTCCACTTTATAGTAAAAGAGGACGGGAGACCACCTCATTTTCTGAACTCTATCAGTTGTTCTTAGTCTAGCTCCAAGCAATTGTTAACTTTTCTTAGCATTCATATGACTAGCCCGTTTTAAAAACACTCAGGTCTCGTTCACAACTAGCTACCCAAAAGTGAGTCCTAATAAGATTGCTTACAAAGCGAGAGACAAATTTCAGATTTTCTTTAGAGTAAACCTTGGCAAAACATTTTATCATCAGGGAAGGTAAATCGTGTCCTAGGTACCACCATGTTCTAGTCTTGCCTGAAGAATAATATGGTAATTTGATGAAATGTCATGTCGTGTTCAACATCTGCCACCAAGTCAGATACGAACCTACAGTGAAATCGAATTTGGAAATTTTGTCTCCATAAAATAGTCCCAACAATTTCAGTTATTCTTTAATTTTCCATAAGGTATCTTTTGGCTTTCGATTAGAGAATGTGTGGCAGTTAGTACCCAATGGGAATTCCACTTATGCCACGAAGGCACAAATTAACCATCTGTCTCCCCTAATTGGCTCAATCCCAACTTGTCATAAACCGGGAGAAGATTCACCGCCATGCAAACTCTGCCTTATAGAGGGCGATCCTTCCAAAACTGATCCGTTCGTGGCCCGCTTAGCGTTCCTATGGCATGCATTTCTCCCAATGTTGAACTGAATAAGTACGGATGAAATATTAAACCTCAGGCTCTGTGATTTCCGATTAAATGCAGAGTCGAGGCCCTTTCCATTTTCGCCTTGAATTGTTTTCAGTTTTGTCATTGGTTTCTACTTACAGGAAAACTTTGAATATTGCCGCACTTAGCTTGTATTGTTAGCTCATTTCTTGGTTTGGAGGAGGGGTCTATCTAAATATCTTTTGAATGCAAAATTTTTCAAGTGTTCCATGGCAGAAATAAAAAAATAACGAATAGTTGGTAACTTCGACTTTCTCTCATCTAAAAAAATGTGAAATTTTGGGTGTTTAAATGGAGGAGCTCTGTACGCCTCCTTATATGACACGCCGGAGCAAATATCCTAAAGAAGGATAAAAAGCGGAGGAGTATTATCCTTTTATTTACTATTTACTATTTTAGCTAATTGGATGAGAACAGGTAGGAACAAAAAAACAAGGTTGGTGTAAGTTCTTGGTGTTACATCGCAACCCCTTCAGTGTCACCGCATTTCCGGTGACCATCTTAGTGTCAGGACGAACTATTCATGCCACTCTCGTCTGCAGTTCACGAAATCCTTTGTTTAAATTTAAAATGCAGTTCCATTTAGATTAGCAATTCTATAGTCTTTGGGAAAGAAAAGTACGCAGCGGAATGACATTGATACTCAATGTTTACAGGTATTTTGTGGAAAAATGCATATCGAAAATTTATATATTGTAATGCTTTGATTGTCTGCTCATCGAGCACTGGAGAGCACGGCTTTTGTACCTCTGCTGGCAGCATATCCCCCGGGCCATGTCAGTAGCCCCAGTCCCTTCTATATGGCTACAGGACGTATTGGGTTACTACGTTTGTGGCAAATGAAAGCAAACCGTATTCTTAGGGACATCTACCCCAATTTCTGCCACCAAATGATAAGAAGTGCATATAATTAGGATAGTAAGATCTGTAGCGACCTCATATAGAAGGGCAGAGAAAGACGTCTACCTTTGACAACTACCCAAACCCTGTGTTCTGCAGGAAAGCCATCAAAAACCGAAACACCACTGGCCGCGAATTTCTTAAAAGTTCGTACAGAGCTATCAATGTTACCTGTACGAAGATGTTAACTAAGTGGAAACCAGATGCCCACTTTACCTTTCTAATAGTTAAAATCCAGGTAGATACAGAGCAAGTCAGCGTTTAAGCGTTAATCATCATCATTTGTAAATGCTTTTTAGTCCAGTATTCTTACGACTAGCGGTGGACACACGTTGTTGCCTACACATTCCCTTTTCCTCGAATCCAGCTTCCATACAGGACGGAACTCGAGACCCGGTAGAATTGCCAAGAGGGATCAGTAACGGTGCAGTCACGTGTCTTCTTTGGTTTTTTTCTTAGAGCACCAATAATGTTATGACGACCGAAGTGGAAGTTTAACAAGGGGGGAGCGCCAAGGACACCGCGCAAACGGAAAGAGTGGCTATGTAATGCTTTGATTATTCTTTTATGTTTTTGTTTTGATTTAAAGGGCACTTAAGACCCCCCAGATTGTACATCCACTAGGCGGCATGACTTTCAGGTCATCTCATTAGCCCCCTCCTCAGCCCCCCTGTATGTCGCCCATGAGTATTTTGTCCTAGTACCATGATTTTTCGCCTTCAGGGAAGCCTTGACATACTCCAATGTATATGCTGCAAAACAATTAGCCTCTCCTTTCGTTTCAATCAGTTACCGACCGATTTGGTGCATCCGAAAGTAGGAGTCTCATCTTGAACAATGGAAGTGAACTTTAGTTCCAAATTACTACCTTAAAACAAGAACTACTGCTTAGCCAGACGAATCCTTAAAAAACTTAGGAGACTGGCTCATTTTAGCATTTTGACAGGGTAGACGGTGCCTTGATTCACTCCCAGGTCTTGCAGGCATTTCAATCTGTTTCAAAGCAAATGTGTTTTTAAAGGAAAATTGCGAGATTTTGTTTTAACAATCTTGCCTTTAACCTAAATAAAAAGTACTTGAGCATCAAAGCAATGGAAACGTGGGGAACTGTTGCTGCTGGTGGGTAAGTCCTTGAGCTAAACGTATTGAAAGGTTGGTATTGTTGACACCAGTGCCTGTCCTAATGAGTTACTCTGTGTCAATATGGGCTGGCTCTGAGTTGGTTTCCGTTTTAATGTGAAATTCTTTTTTAAAATGCCAATTTAATTTATTAAATGCCAGACATTTTGCCGTTGCAACTCAAATGCTGTTGAAAATGACTAAAATAACGTCGAGATTTTGCTATGTCTTGCACCTTTGATGCAAAATCCCTATCCTTTTCCTACGTATTGTCTAGGAATGAAGCCTTTATCTGATAGGAAACTAGTGAGCAGTGACGTGGAAAGCATTTTCAGAGACAGTGGGGACCGTAGCACGTGAGATTAGCTACACCGATCCGCTACACGGTTTCGTTTAACCTTAAATATCCTTCTAAGCCATGGAAAGTGGCCAGCTGATGTTAAGTCAAGAAGGAGAGCAGTACGAGGTTTTAATGATGTGTTCTATCGGTCCGATTCACTGTTTAGTTGTCATTTTTGGACGATTTATTCACAAATTACTACTAAGGTGGAAGGATGATCAACTTTGTTTGCCAAATGTATTTTTAAGGAACATTGCCGAAGAGGAAACCCATTTATCTAAACTAATGATCCAGCGTAGTTATTCAGCATTGCATGTTTTTCACTGATTTGCATCCCTGTCTCTTCAACACTGCTAATAGGATTGCCTTCATTATTCTCTATCTGTTTAAACAGGAAATAGTGACAAATGGAGCACTTTTCCGGAAAAATGAATTTATATATTGTAGAAAATCATTAAATGCTCAATACTGCTTCTTTTCACTCTTTTCTTATTTGATATTTAATTATCCTTTCCCTTCAACCCTCGATTTGTCATAACGCTAGATCTCTAGTTCTTTAAGTATATATTTAGCTGTTTGTTTTGGTTCTGTAGGCACTTCAGTATCCACCTATGTACTCTCGATGGAAGGCGAGGTCTCCGGGCCCTTCAGTCTTTCTATACCTTGGCAATGCATATTCTTCCAGTCCCGTGTCCTGCAGTAAAGCTACTAACAACAGAAGCAACACCAATTGCGAACCGTCTGAAAAAGTTCATTACGGAGCTGTCTACGGGACATGGATGTAGATGACAATGAAGCGGACACCCGATACCTCTTCCATCTCTCTACTTGCTGGATAGAAGACAGATAGATATGGAGCTGGCAGCACTGAAGTGAATTCGACATGGCAAGGAGGGACAGACGCGAAACCTTATAGCCACAAAACTGTTTTAAACAAAGTTCTTAATTAAATGACTGCTTATAGGCTTGTATTTTTGCAACTTGCGATGAATATACATGATGACCTGCGCATTACCCCTCAATCAAATCCATTTCCTATACAGGACTAAACTCCCGACCCAGTGGATTCATCAAGAGGGATCAATGACGTTGCAGTCAATTATCTTCTTAGATTCGAGCAAATTTGATGACGGGCCGATTGTTTCGTGGGTGCTTTTCCTACAGTACCAATTACGTTGTGATGGTCGAATAGAGAGACTGACCAAGGAATCACGGAAGACTACGCTCAAATGTGATGGTGATAATGTATTAATTCTAGTTTTTTATTAAACTCTTCATTTTGCATTTGCGGACCCCTGAATCTACGCCTTTTAGTTCCGCTGGGCGGAATGACCTCCAGGCCATGTCAGCAGCCTCCCGGCCCTTCTCTATGTCGACGATACATATTCTGCTCCAGTATTGTCTTCTTTCGACCTCACTGAAGACTCGGGCGCTGCATTTTTAGTATTACGGTTAATGTCAGATTGTCAATTTTTTTAGAAAAACAGTATTGAAATACACATTGTCTGTTTTCTTTAATTAAGAAACCTTTTTAACATTTCATGCCATTATTGGCCCTCACATCCCACAGGCAGGATTTACTTTCAAATATTAGTATTCATATTGCTTATTTTATCATCCGATCAAATTCCAAAAATGGCCAGAAAATAAATTTCTTGTTGAAAATTTGGCTTACATTTTTATGTAAAAATAATATCTTCCGTTAAATCACTATATCTCAATCTAAATGTTGTAGAATAAAAACTTATATGTCATCTTCGCAAAAGCGTCTGTTAGTTAACATCAAAAAGCTCTCTGTCGTGTATTAGGAGCCAGGAAGTATGCATTTCTAGTCACATTCCGGTAAAACTACTTTGGGAATGTATGATGTAAAACTAACCTTTTGTACGAAATTATAATTGAATTTATTGCATAGAGCTTAGGTTGCACAGAATGTGTGGGAAGCCTTATGTCTCATTATCCTAGATAAACTGTTAGAAATTATAGGATTCCGAGTAGACGTTGAAGGCTTGACAAGGCATATTGTTTTAAAGAAGATGAGGACCGAATTTTAGAGAACGAAGGGCTTCCTTGAATGTGTGAATTCCAAAATAAGTGTGTTTAGGCTACAAAATATACCTCCTCTTTTGACCGTTGTCCATGATGCTTTCCGTAGTCACGTTTACACTTCGGCTCTCACCAATCTTCTTGTGAAATCGTATTCAGCTGTAGCATTGAAGAGATGATGTTGCGTTAAAATTAACTTGTGGAGATAATGCTACCCATTGGTAAATAAAGTGGATAGGGAATATTGGGAGGTGCATTCTATTTGTTAGGGCCTAAACTCCCTCCAGTACCGGCCTTTGCAGCACTCGAGATCGAATGTTACCGCCGAACTAGGCGTGTTTTCTAAATAGTCCTTCCTGTGGCCAGCCTGTAGATTTAGTAATCAAGCAAATTCCCTTCCTTCCCCTAATGTTTCGGTTTAATAACCAACAGATGAAATTCGATTCGTTATTCACTTTGACCTGATTAATTTGACGTTGCCACCAATGTAGGGCTATAAATCACCCCCAAGGCCACAAGGTGTACCGGCGTGAAGGAAAGGTTCTTTCATGGCACGCAGAAGGGGTAGGGTGGTGTGAAGCATGGATAAGGCACTACAACACCAAACTAGAGATCAAACGGAGAAAGCCAAAGGACCCGCATTATTAAAGGTATCTTTTATACAAAAGTGATTTTACCGCAAACTAGTCAATGTTTTATCATCGTTTAAGTGTATGTACAAGTATTAAAGTTATTTGTCAATGCTTTGTTCAATAAATGGGGGAACTTTTCAAAATATTCTGTGATATTAGTCTTGATATTCTGTTCACACCATCTTAACTGGTGGAATAGTAGGATCACCTTGACGACATTACTGTATTGCCCCGAGACTTCCCTGAGGGTGAAATAAGTCATAATACTAGGGCGGAATGTGTTTTGGAGACCTACAGAAGGGTTGGGGGACTTCTAACGCTGTCCAGAAGCCATGCCACCCGGCAGAAGTACAAAAGTTGAGCTTTAAGTATCCGTGTAAATAAAATGAGGAGTTGCTATTAATCACGGGGTTGCATTAGCCCACTTCTTTTGATCCTCGTCTTTAGTGCTCCTATTCATCAACTTTCCGCGTTGGCTACCGCAACGTAGTCGGTACCGCAAGGAAAAATACCAATAAGGCTGCAATAGTCATCGATTTGGCTTATAAACGAGAAGATATGTGACCGCAACGTCACTAGATCCCCTTGGCAATTCCTCTGGATCTGGAGTTTCGCCCTGTCTGAGAACTGTATTGGAGAAAGGGTGAACACGCAGGCCATTTCGTATGTCCGTTGTTGGTCTCACGACTCCTGGCCTAAAAGGTGTCGTTTAACAAAGGACGTGGTTCACCAGTGTTCCGTAGAGCTAAGAATTTGCGTCAATTCCCTCTTGCCACTTAGTTCTCATTTCGTTGCTAAATAGCCACATATCTATCTGGGTTCAGTTCGACCGTTAAAGAGGTTGACCGTTAATTCGTTCACTCAATTAAATGGCATCTTTGTGTGGGTATCGTTGACAGCTCCGCGACAAACTTTTCTGAATAGTTCACGGATAGCATCACTTTAGTTGTTAATAGCATTCATAGGAGAGCCGGGATTGCGGTTGCTACCTACGGTAGACGTCATTTTCAACCATTCTATTAAAAGTCATCGCATGTCCTCCTATCCGCTACATATGCCCTTCTTCTGCCACGATAAAGTTTAGCACTCTGAAGTATAAAACAGGGTATTTGTCCTTTAGAATCAGATTCGCTTTCCGCTGCCACCAATGCTGTGCCCCAAGTCTTTCCTGTAGACAAAGGAGGTCATAACACTAAGGCAGTTTATATGTTGTCGATGTAGAGGAGGGCCGAGTGGCTACTGGCATAGACCGGATGCTGTTCCGACTATTGGAACTACAATGACGGATCCAGTAGGTGCCACGTTACCAAAACAGAGCTAACCAAACTATTAAGGAATAACAATTACCCCAATGAAAAATAATTCTTTAACTGTTCCACCTTCTAAATGATATTTTGAAGGAGGTGCTTATTTTTTACCACACCAATGGCTTCATATTTGTTCACTCTAAGCAAGGTAAATATTGTTACTAACTGAATGAGTGAAAATGGCGTTCCGCATTTTTTGTCATTTTTGAAAGGAGTCCTAGGCGTTTGAAGGGTAGAATTTGGCAGCATTATTGCACTAGAATAATCTAAAACATGGATTATTTTGGTTCTGCTAACAAAATAACGTCTTTTACTTTCGTTAGGTGAAAGGATTGTTTCGTTTTGTCTACTGCTGCTCCACACTTGCTTCAAATCTCCACCAATTCTTCGTCAAAAAGATGAAAATGAATAAGGTGCACTGCTGTAGAAACCATACATTTTACCATTTTATTTTATGCTATTTGGCAGACTGCTAATCCGCTTTCGATGGCAGACTATCATATCATTCGTCAAGGAGGAGAAATGTCAATAGATTGCGTGAGGAAAGCGTGAATAGAAATGGTAAATAACTAACTCATTATAGTTGGGAACTATGAAAATTATTCTATGGTTCAAATATTAGTTAACTGTTTTAAATATTCGCTGGAAGTTGATGAACTATGCAAAAGAACCTCGGCTTCTAGAGCTACTTTGAATAGTCATTTCTCCTCTCCACTATTAATTGTAGAGGATTGCATTACTCTCAGTTTCCAGCAATATTAAAAACGACTGAAATGTCCCTTTTTACGATTATTGTAAGTTATTTTTAATGGTAAATTTATTCTCTCTCCATTGTCATTCACAATGCAAAACTTGAGACTGGAGGACTCCCCAAAATTCGGAGGTGCTGCTGAAGCGCCCCTCTGCTGTGAGTCATCGCATATCGCGTGATCAACAGAGAGTGTTTCACTTATGTACCATTTTGATGTAGCAAAGCCAGGTACGCAGTTGGTTTTTTATTTGAGTGGTCTTGTTAGCTCAGCCGCCAATAAATCGTGGCTGTTCCGTCCAAAGACGTTAGAAGCAGCTTGGGTAGCACAGGTTACATAAAAATGGCTTAACAAAGGGCTTATTCAAAGCAATATTCTTTTGTCTCATCAGAAACAGTCAACCGATTTAATGCCCAATAGCTATTAAGAATCAAACAAGCACTCAGTTGCATTTGCCTTCCGACTTGGGATGGGTTTGAGATATTATGCATTAGAATTGAGACTAGCAGGAGTAGAGTTAAAGCAAGTAGTAGCATGCCGCCTTCAACCATACCCGAGTCTTTGAAGCAGACAACAGAAAACTTTGCCGCTTTTGTCAGACCTCCCCCTTATTTTCGCATTTCACTGTCAAAATATCTAAACACTTATCTCCGTAGAATGTACTTGATTCAGCTTTCATGGTTGCCTCAAAGCAAGTCCTTTCCAAAGGACAATATTTTGTAGTTAGGTTATTTTCTCGGTTCATTTACATCATATGAAGTGTGCACTAGAGTGTTTTACCACTGCCCCTAACAGGTTGTTTAATAGTAAACCAAATTAATAACAGACTATCCGATCCTGGGAGAAAATTGACCATACTTACCGCCAAAAATCTCAAGTTTTACTGGCATTACCTGCGTCAAATAACCGGCCTGCAAGACAAAAATGTGCAGGCCTGTAAAAAAATATTTCCGATAGGTGCTTTTGCAGGCATTTAAAATCCTTTTGTTTACATCATAGCGTGACTGATGAAATTAAGTCAAATGTGGAGAGGGCTAAAAGTGTTTTCAAGCCCCCACCCTCCTGACGGATTGGATTTGATTTTGTAATTTACTTTGGTGTCATTAATTTCCTTAATTCCGTTTCTGAATTCTTGCTTCTTGACTGTAGACGAGGTTAATTGCAATCTAATTGCACATCTTTTAGATGATTTCAATTATACATTCCTCGGAGGGTAAAATCTCCCTTATCATTGATGGGAAATTTGCATAAATTCGTTACGAAAAGCTTCATATTATCCCTATTTTTAGTCTAAACGCAATCTAAATACACATTTTGCGATCCGCACCTTTTGCGTAATAATTTATATTTGCCTATGCCTTTATTTTAGCCTCCTGGGCAATTAAGGTAGCGCCATTGTACTTCCGCTTGGAGGCGTGGACTCCGGACAAAGCTAGTAGCTACTCAGGCCTTCTGTGCGTCGATAATGTATATTCAACCCTAATTTTATGACCTTCTTCGTCTTCAGGAAAGTCTTAGGGAGCTACATTAGTGGCGGTAGATAGCAAACTTGAGCCCAAAAAAACTATTTTGATTTCCATTCATGAATGCATAGCCTTTACGTGACGAAAGAAGGGGATAGGCTGCGAAATGGCAAATCTGTGATGATCAGCAACAGAAGGGGAGAGCTACTGTAGTTTGCAGAAATGTTATCAGAAACTGAAGATACGCTATCTGGAACCATCTGCAAAGGTACGTTCCGGAGCTGCTGCGGTACCTGCATGAAGATGTCGATTAAGCAAACACGCTATACTTCCTTCACTTCTTGACTAGCTGGATAGAACCGAGATAGATATACTGCTGGATAGCACTGAAGTGAGGACAAAGTAGCACTTTATCCCCGCAAAACTGTTGTAACCCCGTCCTTTATTAAATAATTGCCTTTTAGGCCAGCGTTCAGACGAATAGTGATGGGCATGCATGATGCTCAGTAAACTGATCTTTCCCAACAGAGTTTTAATCAGTACGGAATTTTAGATCCAGTAGAATTACCTAAGGAATCAGTGACGTTTCAGTCAGATATCTTCATAGTTGTACGCCAATTCAATTAATGGCACGGTCAGTATGTACGTGTTTTGCTTACAACACCGACTACGTTGTGATGGCCGACTTGGGAGGCTGACTGAGACGAGTGCCAGAAACGAAGCTTGAAAGTATTAAGTTGCTCTGTAATGCTATAACTTGCTATTCAACTCTTCGTTTTGGTTACAAGGGGACCAAAGTGTTCCGCTTTTGTTTACCTGGTCGTCACGCCCTTGGGTCACGGCAGTGACCCCATCTCTTCTGCACGTCGGCCATTCATATTCTTCTTTATCATTAGATCTTTCATCTTGAATGAAGTCTTAGGGTTGAACATTTGTTTATAGGAATCCTTAAAATTTCTGAAGCGCAATCACATTTAAAAAACTCCTATTCGAGAGCGCGATTTCCCTAGCAGATGTGATTTTCTAAGCAGAATGCCCACAAAACAACTATTTTTTGCCTGTATTGAGTTTTTGAAATTTCTTTTAAACAGTAAAAACAAATCAGCTCATTAAAATTTAAATAGAATAATTTGGTGTGTTTTGTTTATGACTATGTATATACATGATAAATTTGTATAATTGCACAATCTATTCTGTTTGTTCGAGAGTAACGAAATAAAGCTTCGCCTAAACCAGTGACTGCCGGTGAAGTTGAAACCCCCGAGCGATAAAGCTCTTTCCACATTAACCTTCACAATCAAGCTTTAATTTACATTAATGCCTCTCATTTACGCTACATGCTTAGTGTACTGAGAATTGGCTTTTTAAGCATTAAGGCATTGCTAAAATGGTATCTAATGAATTTTATTTAGTTACTTACTGCCTAAATTATGTTTAACACGAAAGTTGTACGTGACGACCACGCTAAAAGCCTTTCCACTTTCAACTTGATTAAATTTTATGGTCAGGAGAATAATGTTATCTGGAGAGGGTTTTATTTCACCCTACAGAGTTCCACAGCACTCTCGCCTGCTCTATCGTATGAGCATAGACATAATCCTGATTCAACTGCAATAAGGGTTGTTGAGTTGATACTAGAAGTAGTGTATCGCCCCGAGACTTTCTTGAAGAAAAGTGGTAACATGACACTAGGTCAGAAGGCATTTGCTGACATGTACAAAGGCTGGGGGCTACTGGCATGGTCAGGAGGCTGGGCGGCCCAACAGAGGTGCAGCGATTGAGCCCTTCAGTCTACGTGTAACCGACATGAAAAGTTAAACAAACAGTCACAGTATAACAGTAAGGCTACTGGAAGGTCAGGCTACCAAAGCGGTTATCATGACTATACATTTTTATAAGGTCATGCAGTCAAGCCTACGAATTCGCGTAATCATTACGAACGGTGACGATGACTGGAGTTAATAAGTTCCCTCCAAAACAGAGAAATTATGAGCTAATTTCATAATTTTATTACTAAATACTCTCTTGCTATCATTCTATTAAATGTCAGCTAAAATTAAGTGATTTTGCCTTGTTAAGATGAAATCACAAACTCCACCAGCTAGTGGGGAAAAGTAAACTTATTGCACACGTGAGAGAAACCATTTTCCCGCTCTGTTCACTCAGAGAGTAGGGATGGGGAAGAAGGTGGTGGCAAAATGTCCTTTCAGTTGTTTTACCGTATAATGCCTTTCGTCCTCTTCAACCTCGAGTGAACAAAACACAGCCAAAAGCAGGTTCCGCGTTCGCTATTGCGCACGCAATGTCCGGCGGGTGGAAGCTAACTTCTGCACCGACTAACTTGATCTCTTACCAAAAAATTTTGTGAATTATCTGAATAGTTTTAAACAAACCAAGGGCGATTTAGAAAACAGCTAGTTATCTTATCTATGACTTTACTTACAAATTTCCCAGACAAATGTGGCATCCGTAATTAATTTAAAGTCACAGGGTGAAAAAGCTCAATCACTTTTCAAATCAGCCTTTAATTTAGGAGAGGTTGTAAAGTGAATGGAATCAAATATTTAATGGCATTTACAAAAACTCCACATTTTGTTGAGTCAAGATAACTTTCATCATTCTACAGCTACTTTAAAAAACCTTTTTATTACGCGACGGTAGGGTGTTCAAAGGTAAATTACCTCTTATTATGCGATCTCTTCCTTCATTGAATAATGTTCTGGATTTTTAGGGCATTGTGAAATAAATTAAAATCTTACACTCAAATCTGCCCTATGGGTACAAAAAAAAGAGTCGGCTCAGAGAGTATCGGAAAGGGAGGTTTTTGCAGCGCCCACCAGACGGATAAAGGATGTACTGCGATAAGGGAATGTTAAACCTTTTTGAATAAGGATTTAAACAACTCTGAAACGCTGTGGCTTAGTAGCACAAATGTAAAAGGGCTCCTTAGGCTTCAAGAGCTGCTGATGCAATCAGGCAACTAGAGTCTAGCCTATCTTGAAGGTTAAGTAAATCAATGGGTCATCAGGAAAAAGTAAATCTTAGAAGGAAAGTTCATTTAAATTAATTAAAGAGGATTAATAGTTACAGTTAGCAGCTAATTACTTCCATGATACGCCTGATCTTTCCATACACGTCTTTTAC